ACTGTAACTTTCTCTCTTTCACTTTGTTTCCCGGAAGGATTTGCGATTCTTGGAGGCCGAAACACGTCAGAGATCAGCCTCGGCGTGGACCTTTTCCGTTGATGCTGAATACACGAAAAGGCGAGAGAGCAGTCTTATCATGGGAGACGGACTCTTCATTCTGTGGACAGTGGTGGAATGCGTGATAAAATTATAATTCTTCGCTGTATTATCAGAGTCGAAAACATTTTTTTTTCTTTTGAACTCTTACTTTTAGTCTCTCTCTCTCTCTCTCTCTCTCTCTCTCTCTCTCTCTCTCTCTCTCTCTCTCTCTCTCTCTCTCTCTCTCTCTCTCTCTCTCTCTCTCCCTCCCTCCCTCTCTCGCTCTCTCTTTCCATGACATTTTTTGAAAGATAAACTAAAATACCAAAATGGTAAGATAATGACAAAAGATGACTGAGTAATGGACTGAGCATTCTTTCTCCTTCCCTCTCTAATTGTCTCCCACTCCCCTCTTCCTTTATTTACTCTTTTCACTCCATCTTTCATAGTCCATGCTTTGTACCCTTTGCACAGGGAACTATCAGCTCACTGACGGGAATGTTTCAGCTGCCTATTTGGTCCATCCTTAGCCATGCAAGTGCTGTTTCGAAGCATCACATCCAATAATGATACACAAAATGAGATAGCTGTTACGTGATAGAAGAATAAATACATAAATACATGGAAATTGTACAACTTCGTATGCAGGACCTCTTGGAAAACAACGAAGACCCACTTGACGAATAAAGTTTTTCTTAGTTTATCGACTAATCTTTCAATGCTTAGTACATTACAACAAACGCATTAGTGCTGCAAAATTGCAAGAGTATTATTTTCTTATGTAATTACATCATTTGATTCATTGAGATACGTTAAATAATACCCATATTTTTTCCGCTCGGGATCGAACCGAGGACCTTGCGCGTGTGAAGCGCACGTGATAACCACAATATTACGGAAACGATGTAAATAACATTGTTCCTTTGTGTAATGTTCTGATATCAGTACTGGATATGAGAGGGGACGGAGACAGAGAGCGAAAGTAAGTAAAAGTGATTGATGAGGATTACCGAAAGAGAGAAAAAGAAAAAGACAGAATGGTGAATACGTAGAAATGAAAGAGATTAAACCATTGTCAAGTGTTTCCGCTCGAGGTCGAACCCAACATGACTACTTATAATACGACCATCTATGTCATAATTACGAATAAGAGCTATGCTATGCCTATCCACCTGTGCAAAACCTCGATTCAAGAGAGAACGTCATTTCTTTTCAAGGATGATTAATGAACACCGGAAGTCAGCGAGGACCGAAATGAAACACGTTGCAAAAGGAGAAAAAGTAAGAACAAAGTAAGTGCAATACATCTTTATCTTTCAAGAACGGATTTTTACCTTGTTACTATTGCAGTTTATGAGGATACAATGCTGCCCTGTTTATAAAAAAGAAGAAAAAGGAAAGAATATTAGGCCTTTGGCTTTCCTTATAAGTAGAGCAGACTTTCTCCATTGAAAGGTAACTAAGTTTACCCTTTTGCTTCAATGCTTGTAATATTAATTTAAAGATATATTCAGTATTTACCGGTTTTAAGAATTTAAACGGCATTAATTTTTTTTTTCTCGGATGTCCAACATATATATATATATATGCATATATTTATTCATTTATTTATCTATTTATTTATCTACTTATGTACATGCAGATGTGTATATATATACATATATATCACACATGTATATGTGTATGTATATATATATATATATATATATATATATATATATATATATATATGTATGTGTGTGTGTGTGTGTGTGTGTGTGTGTGTGTGTGTGTGTGTGTGTGTGTGTGTGTGTGCGTGTGTGTGTGTGTGTGTGTGTGTGTATGCATGTATATATACATACATATATATATATATATATATATATATATATATATATATATATATATATATATATATATATATATAGTACATATACACATGTATAATACATACATACATACATATATATATATATATAATATATATATATATATATATATATATACATATATATATATGTATGTATGTATATACATGTGTATATGTACATATATAGATTCATATATATATATATATATATATATATATATATATATATATATATATATATATATATATATATTTATATATATATATATATATATATATATATATATATATGAATCTATATATGTACATATACACATGTATTATACATACATACATACATATATATATATATATATATATATATATATATATATATATATATATATATATATATGATTATATTTACGCACAATAAACTAACAACTTTTTATTATTATCTTTGAAACTTTGAATACATCATCTCTTTTTAACCTCTTTTACCCACACTCACTGTATCAGAATATTATACATGGAAACATTCCATACTACTATCGTTTCCGTTGTGTAGCCGAGCGGAAACAGTCATAATAAGTTTTTGAAGAATTTGACTCTCCATGTCTTACTGAAACAGCTGGTGATGCTGCAGTGACCTGGATTGCAGCCTCCACGTCAGAGGATGACCCTCCGAGCGGCATCCGAACGTCTGGCGCCACCGAGATGTTAGAATAAGCCTGTTGCTACTGAATGAATAGAAGATTGGTCGGATGCCCTATTTTGTGATGTATATTATGCTTCTACTGCAGTGTCCATAATTTAGTCTAATTAACGTGTTCATACTCAAAGTGTCTTGTGCGCATTCCCACACTCGCATTTCAAGCCATTTTTTTTCTTATTGCTTTCCTTAATTTGCATTTTTATCGCACTTTAGGCGGATTTTCTACCACTTTTTCTCATTTTCAAGTTTCTTTATTTTCGCTTTTTTTCTATATTGTTGGTGCAGTTTTCTGTATTTTTTTTTTTTCTTTCTTTCGCATTTTTTTCGCATTTTGACGAATTTTCTACTTGATTTTTCCTCATTTGCCTTTATTTTCTAATTATTGGGACTTTTCTCTTCATTTTTTAACATTTTCAAGTTTATTTAATTATTCATTTATTTATTTTATATTGAAAAGATATGGCTTGTTTTGACGTCCTACACTGAAATGGGAAAGAATGAAATTTCTATTGACCTATCATGAGTTGCACATGGCTTACACGAACCCACATGAGTACATACACATACACACATAAAAGCCACACAAAAGGGAAAAACTGATTGCAACCGGCAGGCGTCTCGTAATTTCTGTGCCCGGGGCTTTTCATGTCTTTCAGCCCCGGGCGAGGTTACAACCAGAGGGAGCACTTTTGGCTCCCTTTTGCAGATTCGAACTCGCGATCGCGGGTTTCGAATCTGGCGCCCTTACCGTCTCGGCCACGTTGACGAGGGGAAACAATGAAGGATTAGGAGAGGTATTTATGCAACTTTGTGTGTGTGTGTGTGTGTGTGTGTGTGTGTGTGTGTGTGTGTGTGTGTGTGTGTGTGTGTGTGTGTGTGTGTGTGTGTGTGTGTGTGTGTGTGTGTTACAAACACTACATTATGTGTTCGGTAAGAAAGAACAAAAATAGATCTAAAAAAAAAAAAAAAAAAAATAGTAAATCAGCATTAATGGAAACCAAAAAATTATCAAGCCGTAAAAGATCATTGGTCACTCTCAAATCTGGATAAGTGCAATCCCAAACTTCTTTCTGAACGTCAGTGGAAATCGGCTCTGATATCTGGAGCGTTTCGTAGATTCAATACCAAGATCATCTCTAAATAGTTTCATTCATTCCGTGTCAACGATTAACTAAATTTCGTAACTATTGGTGTTCATTCGAATTCCTGCTTGACGAAATCTGTTTCTTTCCATAAGTCTTCATAAAGTTTCAAAGGCCAAATATAAATCAATAATACGAGACTTATGTTTTAAGACTGCTATGAAATTTTATATAATATATTATAGTCACAGAGGCTAGATATTCTAAAAAGTATGACTTTTATTAAACTACTTATGTTTATCATCTCTATAAGACATAATATCTTAACGAGCTTTCAGTACTATAGATTATATTCAATCTTAGTATAATCTAGAAGGCGTCGAGGACTTATTCAGGTGCGAGGCTAGACGTTAAGAGTATTAAGTCTACGTTATACAAACAATCATCATGAACTTAGAGATTAGTAATGTAATATATTATAAAATCAAATAGTCAATACATGACGTAAGAGAAAAATTACAATCTGTCTGGTCCTCTAATTTTTTCTCCTATGGTAATTTCACCATGTGTCTTTCTCAAGCGGCATCCTACAACGACATGATCTGAGAGCAGACGAGCACACTAGGAGTGCCGACGAGAAGGGGAATAGAGAGGATATGAAGATAACGCTGTTGCTGCTGTGACCATTCTTGGGAGAACATGCGCAACAGCTCCTTCTCCACTGTTCGTCCATCCGGAAAGCCTTGTTCGCGAGTCAGCTGGTCGACGCACAATATAGTCGGTTGTTGCATTTTACAAGTTCTCCCTCCACTATTTATGCACACCAATGTGAACGCCTTGATGTATTCCATCGTTTGAAAGAGAAGGAATATTTCCCTATGCATTTTTTTTTTGTACAGTCTAG